TCTTCAGGATAAAAATATCTACCCTCTGCAAATTCAGATGGGGGAATAAAACACTACCCCTCTCTTTTATTTGCTTAATGCAAAATAAGATATTCTACAGATAAAAACGTAACTGCAGAATAACCCACAGGAGCTATTCCTTCAGTAAGTAGTATCAAAAGTTCATCTTACTGAACAAAATCTTCCCTGAGCCCCTTGTAAGGGGAGTGTGCTGAAAGAGAGAAATACACCTTTGTGAAGGGTGAAGTGGAAAGTCATCAGAGAATTTAATTTGCATCCTTTTCTTTGGACTTACATTACCACTTTTTCCTTAAATCCTGCCCTCCCTCCTCTTCCCTCTGAAGCTCAGTTTCTCTTTTCCTCTTTCATCTTTTCACTCTTCTGTCATAATTGATAATTTCCTTTCTTCTCTTTCCTAAAAGTTTATATAAGAGCTGGTCATAATTTGGAGTGATGGGATGAAAGTAAGACAGCAAAATACAGTCTGAAAAGTCAAGGTTCTCGTCAAGGATCAAAGAACCTAGCAATGCTGTGACAGATGTGAGAGGGTAGATCTTTCACTATATCTTAGTTCGAGACAGACCAGGATCATAAGTTTTGCCAAAGGAAGACCTGGAGCTAGCAGCAGTCTCAGCCTGCTCTGATCTTTTTCACCTGCAAATCTTTCTTTATGTATTTTCCAGTTAAAATCTACTTGCTTTTTTTCCCTTAGCTATTCCTAGGCACCATCTATTTCTCATTCCACAGAACCTCTGTAGGGTGTTTTTTTGTGGTGCTTTAGCATAACTGACGTTTAGCTTTGCCTGAAAACAGCAGGAGGAGTTATGCTATGAAGTTCAGTATATACCTGCCTGAAATTAGCTGTGGGACATCCATGATATTCAAGAAATTTTAAAATGAGGTGGTGTATAAAAGTGAGGCTTTCTAGACACAAAATAGCAATATAAAATTCATATTTTTAATTCAGAAAAATCAAAACTGCTATTACAGTTTGAAACATGCAGGAAAATTTAATCAGATTAATAGAAAAAATCTTTTGATTATTTAAATATTTCTTAATTAACAAAGGACAGTGAAAGATGTCATGGCACAAGAACAGCAGGGTTTGTTGCACACAGTGTTGTTATAAAAAGACTATAGAATGGAGGGGGGGGGGGGGGGGGGAAGAGATATAAATTATCATATTCCCCCAAAATCTGTGAGCTATTGAAATAATTCATTATTTGGCAGAGATCACTCATGGAAAACATCAGCTGGAGAAGTTCTAGAAAACTACAAAGGACTGAATCAGGATTTGGAAAGTGGAAACTATTATAAAATATGAAATAATGCTGTGACACATATCTTAGCTCTTTTTCAGTAAGGAAAGTAACTTGGCAGACCCAAAATATAAAGATGCTAACCTTCCAGTCTGAGAGTGTATCAATCTCCATCTCAATTGTGTGCCAACTGAATAAGGTCCAGAAATTAGCTGAAAGTTCATGGCATGATATAATTTTAAAGATGAATATGCTATTATAAACTCATTTAAAGTTAAAGCAGGTTTTAAAACAGTTGACTTTTCATTCTAGGCATGACCTAGTTGAGAGGTACAGACCAGAATGTAGCATCAAGGATATCGCAAAGCTGTTCTCTAGAGCTATGCAATCCAGTGGAGTGAAAACTAAACTCCAGGTAGTGAACCCGAGTGATTTTTGTGGTAATTTTTTCCAATTAGGAAAAAAATTCTGAATCATGGAACAGTGCTCCAACTTAAACAAAGATTGATGTATATGTGTATCTGCATGATCTTTGGAGAAAAAATTACAGTGCATACTTAGTTCGTGTTTAGATGTTGCTAATTTGGTCAAATAATAACCTATTTGCTGCAGATACCTTATTAGGGTGCTGATCACTCCATGAAACAGGAAAATGCAAAGAAAAAACTGTGTTTGTCCTCCATCATAACATGTCATCTTACTTTACTGACATTAACCGGCACATCTAACACTAATGTAAGAGATTTCCAATTATTGTTGCTTATTTCTCTGTGCCTCTTTGAAGTGCTATAAAGAATAATATTTATTAGGAATAAATATTCCAGATCTTTCAGATTTGTTACATGTCACTGAACCAGCTCTTAGCCAAAGTGCTTTTAAAGAACTATCACCTAGGAAGCTGAGAAACGATATGTATACATCTCTACTAAATCTTGCTTTCTGAAGAAGGCAGCTGCACCAGGTAGGAACAAGGACAGCTACATGGAAGAAACAACTAAGCAACCTAAGCAAAAGCAAAAACTTAGAGTGGTCAGCCATCAGCAAAGCTTCCTGCTGGGCAAGGAATCATGTAAATGCCAAAGCAAAAGATGAGCTTGTATGTTAGAGATTTTTTGACCACCAGGCTCTTGCCAACACAACAGACATTATTACAGACTTAAAGTTTGAAAAAATCTTTACCACCTAATCACTGAGCCTGGTTTTCCACATTGCCTGTGGTCTGTATGCCATAGCCTGGGAGCGAGAGTAATAGCATGCCTGCACGGTAATCAGATGAGACTGCACTCATAGACACGGACCCTGTTGAGCTGTGAGCTGGCTGACAGCGCCCTGAGCTCTGTGCTTGTAATGGTTAATTGCTACCTGGTTTAAAATTAGCTTGGGAACATCTACACAAGCTGAGGTCATGCCCCCAGCTGCTCTATAACCTGATGCTTGGAAAAGATGTTCCATCAGATTTCAACATGAATATCATACCTGGGAAGCTCTTAGGAACAGGCTTTTATTGGAATGATTGCGATGAGGTGATAATCAGTATAATGATTGGCATTCAATATAGTGAGAATCAGTACACTGATTGTTTTGAGATTTCCTGTTCATTTGCTTGTTTTGCAAACTGAGACAGAAATCCCTAATAAAACTCTTTAAAAATCACATCAAAACTCCTACCATTTCCTACAGTACAGAGTCATCTTTGAACTGCTGAAATCCCACAAAGGCAGAGTTACAAAATTTACATTTGACAATTGGCAAGCCAATTACAGTCTTATCTGCAATGTGTTTTAACTTTTTGTGATCAGGTTACATACAAAGTTTGCTACTCACTACAGTTGCAGCCCTGCCTTCCAGTTAGTTATCAGTGTCTACCAATAAAGGATATTTTCTCATCACTTAATATCAAGCAATTTAAAAATAATGTGATCATTTATATATAGTAAGTACAATTCTGCTATCCATTAACCTTTTTTGCAAACAGACGCTATAGCATTTGGCTGAAAACAATATACCTTGATCCCTTCCTACACAGCTATAGACTCCACTTAGCACACATACCTTTGACGTCAGGCATAAACAGACCAAGAGCAGCTACACCCATAAGCCTCTGATGGCACATGTGGTCTAATTCACAACAGGTTACAACAAAATTAAATCCAGCAGATTGATATGACTGTAAAACTGAGGGGATTGCACATTAAACACTTTAGTCTTTCCACAGGTGGAGGACTGCATACAGTGTTATATCGGAAAGAGAGGTCTGTGTAATTAAGCAACCTGACCTTTGTTTGAAATTCATAAATAGGATCAGAACATACTTTAATTTTCTGAGTTATTTCCTTTATAAACAGAAAATGCATTTTTATGGTCTGTTGTGATGCATATCTAGCACATTTCATTTTTAGGTCCTGATTCACTTCTTGGATTACACTACAACCAGAAGCAGAACTTCTAAAGTACTTTGGAAAAGCTTTGTTTTTATATTTTTGACATAATCAAAACCAGCAAGTCCTATAAATATTTTAGAAAAGTATAGTCACATTGCTTAATGGTAGCAATTTCAGAATTCACAGATGTCTTAGAATAAAAAACAATTACCTAAATTTAAGTGAAGGACATTTTGGGGAAAAGTGTTAAGGAAGTCTTTCTAACAGTAAATTAGTTACTTAAATACATAATCTAGGATTACCACGGATGTTTAAAAACCAGGTTGGACAAACACATCATGAACAGATACAAATATACTAGAAGCAGGCAGTTTGTCTGGCTGATCTCAGAGGCTCCCTCCACCCCTATTTTCTACATATCCAACAGCATGAAAGCTAACAATATTTTCACATAATTAGTTCTAACCTGCACTCAAAGTACAGCGTCGGTCTTGCTCAACCCAAAATCCTACTGCTTTTCAAAATAATTCTGGCCAAAAATAGATGCAATAAGACAGACTCCAGCACCCTCTCAAATGTTTTGTCTGCAAGTTTCTACTTCTCTAATTTAACAGGGAATCATAATCTAGTTTCCAGAGTCTGTTCCCACACAAACACATTCTAACTCTGGACTATTTCCTGTTGCCTCTGATTTTTCTAGTACTGGAGAGCCACAGGATGGTTCAGCATAAGAGGTCGGGGTACTGCAGGTTAAGTGGACCCAGGTACGATTTCAAAAGCCTAAAAAGCAATGTACCAAATAGCACGTCCTAAGAAAGACCAATTCCTTTCCTGTCCCATAAACATCCAATCTAAATAGTTAATAGGAGATGCTGAATGCTAATTTTTATAAACAAGCAACTATGAAAGGTATGGGCTTTTACTGGAAAAACAGTAGTAATAATACTAAAGCCCCTTTTCAAGACACTCTAGGGTAATATGCCATGCTTTGCTTTTCAGTAATATTTTTGTATTTCTGGAGTAAAGGCTAAAATAGCAATTTATAATGAAAATATGATTATCTTAATTGCAATAGAGCAAATGATACACTTAATAGGGTGTGCATGCTCTTTCTAAGCAGCTTACTGTATTTTCCTATCTCCCTCAGTTAAAAAAAAAGCAATAAACCATCTGCAGATGTTTATGTATGAAATCCAATATAGGCAAAACATTTGCACTACAGAACAGATAAGATAATTGAAAATGCAATTGCAAGATAAGGTGTTTGACAGGGTGGAGGGAAGCTGCACAGTGGAGGAAAATCCATCCCCATGACTACTGGTCCTTTCTCCTCCCTGCTCATTGCTGTTCGCCTCTGCTTGGATTCCAGAGCTCGTTTTATTCCTCAGCAGCCTTTCTACAGACTGGTGGATTCGGTCACATTTGGAAATTGTGAAACTGTGGTTTGTTTCAGAAAGAGAAGAAAGGAGAGTTTAAGTATTGCTTTAGCAGCAGATGGCTTTGCTTTGGATTCTTTTATACACAAAGGAGATGTGTTTGCTGGCTTTGTAACTAACTCAAAAAGGGAAAAGAAAAATTGTTAAAGGAAGCGTGGATATGACTTGAATTTTTCATCAGGTAAGAAGACAGAAAATCCATAGAACTGGCAAAACTTACTGAAATACATCTTTTAAAGGATTATTGTATTCTGTACGTCCTATATTTAAAATTGAATGGAAAGTATCCTCCAGATTTTAGCTATGCAATAGTTCAGAACTTAATAAACAGATGATGTTTGCAACCAAAACATTTGCTGGTCACTTTGAAGGGATGGGACTATGCATCTTTAATGTAGGTAAGAAAATACTTAAGAAAGAAAGCCTTTTAAAAACTAGTTTTATTTTAAACTATGCTTTTAACTTTCTTTTCCTTATGCACGTTTCAGTAATGTTTCATCTAGAGGAATGAAGTAACTAGGCTAAGTGGATTATCATTTCTTATAGTGTTAAACTCTCACTATGGTAGAGAATCTTTTTCAAAATGCATGGATTAGGGATTGAAGAATTTAGTTCTCTTAAACACTTCAATCCAATTCTGATATCAGCTGTAGTTGCAGTTCAAGGATGCTGATTCCGCTAATATTTATTAGCATAAAAAAATGCCAATGTGTTACAATAGAGTTCAATATGCTTCAGTAAGTACTAGTGTAACTTATTTTTCTGATGCTATGAATATTCCAGGTATTTAAACAAGATAAGTGCAATTGTTTTATTGCCAACGAAATATTTAAATTGCCTTCTAGTGTGACATGTACTAAAGACTACACTTTTAAACTCACAGTTCAAACCAACAGTGAAAAGAATGCAATCTTTTTCCTGAAAAAAGGGACAATGTTCCTAAAGCCAATGCAGTGAGTGAACTAAACAGGAGGTCAGTACAGGGACTTTTCCATAATGGTAGAATGTGCCAAAGAAGCCCTACCACCCACACTGAATTCTCTGGAGAGGACATTCAGCACTCACTATCAAACTGTGTTGTTTAACCATGGATAAATAAGCGAGCATAGCAAATAGTGCATAAAATATTGCAAAACTGGCTCAGCCCCATGTCTTTTGAGTCCCCACAGCTTCTGCTAACATAAAAAGCGGGGAAGAGCAGAGCTTGTCTTTGAAGGTATCTTGCTTCCAAGCCAGATCCCCCCCTGCTAAGACCTGATCTTTTCTCAAAGGGCAGGGATCAGATCTATGTGAGTCAGGTGAATACCACAGGCAAAGAGAAAGATCACCCTTGGGATATAGCAGCCAGACTTTAGACCCTTACACATCTAAAGGGGAAGTAAAACTCATCAGAGCAGCATTTACCACTGGTTGGCCTCTTGTCCTTCCAGCACATGCATCCTTCTGTCCGATAAATCCAGTCAGGCAATCGGTGCTGCTCCAGGGAAAAGTGGTTTACAGTGCATTCCAGGAAATATGTTGCCTGAAGGTGCTGCTGCTCAGCCACATCATCGGCTTCTGCAGGGTGTGACTGTGCTACCTCCAGAATCCCCTTCATTTCTCCTGGACTCATTAGAAAAGTTTTTCTGCAAGCTGGTGCACACACAGTGGGGTACACAGCTCTTGTTCCCACCCTACTGGAGTAGGGACACCTGCGAGAGACTACAAAGTTTATCCGTGCCACTAGACTTCAGTAACTTTTGCAGCATGAGCGTCCAGGTTTCTATGCCATTCCCTCAATATAGCTGTAACCAGGCCAGGTGGGTGGTTTAGGGAGACTGTAGGGTTTAATGTTAGACCCTGACCACAAATTAAGTCATATTTGGAACATCAGGGCCACATACAGCCACATAAATCTACAGCCACTTCTCACTCCAACTTGACTACACTATTTGAAGAGTGTATTTTAACCAGAATGAGAGTGGTAATAGAAGCTTGAAAGGTGGTTGTGATGGATTTCTGGTTTTTTTTCAGAATCTTCATTTGAAGCACCCAAATTTATGTCAAGCAGAAGTATCAGGATAAAGCAGTCTAGAACATAACTCTAGCTGGAATATTCTTTGAGTGCATGGGGGAAAAGAGTTACAGATTTACAGTTCCCAGTTTTACCCTGTATTTGGTGTTCAATCTCATGCAAGCAACCAAACATTTTTTATTCCTTAGTGATTAAATAATGGCAATCTTTTCTATTAAGAGGTTGACAATCTACAAATAAACAGCTTGTTTCTAGTAATAATAAAACGTCCGCCCATCCCTTCTTCTTTTTGTGCATCTTCTTTAACTTCCCACTCTTTTTATCCTCCTTTCTCCACAGGCTCTCAACGCTATCTTATTTATTACTAGAGGTGAAGAATGACCTCCTTCCAGCTAGTTTTCCAATAATTCCTGCTTTAAAAAGGAATTAAGGTGAGTTAAAGTTGAGTTTTGAAAGGTATATGTGTAGAACATATTTATCCATCTTTCAATTTTAAAAGTAACTCTTTACATCCTTCCTTTTTTCCCTTCCCAGGTTGGAAACAATCTCTTTCTGGCCAGAAAGCTGGTGAGCCTTTGATCTAAGGTTACCTTTTCAACTTGGTGGTAAATTCAAACCCATCAGGATATTCTGCTGAACCTAATGCTTCCCATTAATATTAGTTTTATAACAACAGAATTGTACTAATACCAGATTTTTGCTTGACACCTGTTTAAATTAGAACTGAAAGAAGTATCAACTCTGTCTTTTAGCTACACATTGTATTTAACCACAGAAAATTTTGAGGGTATCATCTGTCAAACCTGTACAACAGTGAACTGTATGTAGGGAAATGAGACAACCTTTGGCAACTACTGCTATGGAAATAATTGTGTGTATAACGAAGATGTGATCTTTGTTTGGTTTACATTTTTCTCCAATTAGCTTGGGGAAAAGGGACATGCTATCTTTAATACATGAGTAAAATAGGAAACTCCCTTAAAGATGTCATTCATACAGGTGTTGAATATCACTTAAGTTCAGGCACACATCAGAGGGATCTGGTGGAAAGCTCACATTGCTTTGTAGTCCTAGAGAAAATATAAATGTGATATCTAAGTAAGCAATGTAAAGGCAGGACCCAATTCTTTTCTGATAATGAAAAAGCAACAGATTACCCTCACTGGAATTCCTTAAACCTTGCTAAATATTCATCTGCGATAAATCTTAAAATACTTTATTTTGAAAAGCAAAGTTTATTCACAGTTGGCAAAAGAGAATTTATATGAAAATGTTTGTACAAGTTTAATCAGAGCTATCATTGCTGTTTCTTATACATCACAATCAGTTACAGGTCTGTAACACTGACAGTGCAGAACCTCAGAAAGGTAGCATCAACCTCCATCCATAGAAATATACACACGTAAAACCACTATACTCAACCACTGGGTTTTCCATTGCTGCAGTTAATTATATTAGATTTGCTCAAAATTTCAAGGACACTGACTACAATAGACTCATAGCAATCACTGCCTTGGAAAGATCCATGCAAAGAATATTCTAAATAATACTAGGTTTTGTCCATAGGTTGGGAGATGCCTCACGATGGATAAAGCCATTCAGCATTCCAGTGAGATTCTGCCTAATCAAACTATCTCTAACATTAGCTATTCTCAGTTTTTAAACTTTGATACATGCCAACCTTCCCTCCTTGTAGAATTCTTGCTTGTTGCAGCCTACACATTAGTTACAACAGTGGGACTTTTTGGAAACCTTTGCCTGATTATTATAATAAAGAGACGGAAAGAAGCTCAAAATGTTACCAACGTTTTGATTGCCAACCTCTCTTTATCAGATGTCTTGATCTGTATCGTGTGTATTCCTGTCACTGTTGCATATACCTTAATGGACTACTGGATATTTGGGGAGGCTATGTGTAAAATAAGTTCTTTCATACAAAGTATATCTGTCACAGTCTCCATTTTCTCACTTGTACTGATTGCTATTGAGAGATACCAGTTAATTGTGAACCCACGTGGCTGGAAACCTAATATTTCACATGCTTACTGGGGAATTCTTTTCATCTGGGGGTTTTCCCTTGTAATATCCATTCCTTTTTTAATATTTCACCAATTAACTGATGAACCCTTCAAACATCTGTCTTTCCATAATGATTTCTACAAGAACAAGGTTGCTTGCATTGAAGCATGGCCATCTGTTACAGAGCGACTGATTTTTACCACTTCTCTGCTGGTTTTCCAGTACTGCTTCCCACTGGGGTTCATTTTTATCTGCTATCTCAGAATATTCGTATGTCTTCGAAGGAGACATAGCAAAATAGACAGGATGAGAGAGAATGAGAGCAGACTGAGTGAAAACAAAAGGATTAATATGATGTTGATATCAATTGTTGTGACTTTTGCAGCTTGCTGGTTGCCACTCAATATATTCAATGTTGTTTTTGACTGGAACTATGAGGCACTAATGAGCTGTAACCATAATCTAGCATTTACAATATGCCACCTTGTGGCCATGATCTCAACATGTATCAATCCCATCTTTTATGGATTTCTCAATAAGAATTTTCAGAAGGATTTGATAGTACTAATTCACCACTGCAGATGCTCAGCATCACAAGAAGAATATGAAAATATTGCCCTCTCAAATCTGCAAACCGATGCATCTAAGGGATCTCTGAAATCAAATAATCCTCTTGTGGTTATCTAAAATAATCCAACAGCAGTTTCCAAAATTTTGTATTTTGTTGCATATGACCTCTTTCTATGGGTCTTGATCATGTTACCACTTAGTTTAGAGGAAGTCTTTGCCATTTAGTTCAGCAAAATCAGGGTTATGTTCCCATAGGCATAGTCTTAGCAGGTACTTTATGAAAATATTAATGCTAATAAACCACTTCCAAGAGTCCTAAAGATCAATAATAATGAATTATAAGCAGTATTAATATATTGGGGTTTTAATCCATAATTTCCAAGTCACTGGCATACTACCTTATCATCAACAAAAATATTTCCATCTCAGCCACTGATGCAGTTGTCCTTCCTAAACACCTGGCTTCACCCAGGTAAACCATGAACACTATGTCATTCCTATCTTCATCAGCCTTTTCATGGACTGTTTCCTGGACTTTTAATTTTCCAGCCCTACAACATTTCCACCTCTGGTTATTCCCCACAACAGTTTATAGGCAGTTCACACTGTAAGGAAGGCACTTCAGGTTATCCCAAGCCTCCACCACCTTCCTTTCAGCCCCATCATGCAGCTTGCTTTGGTTTAGTGTCAGTTCAGCCTAGAAATTGTATTTTAACAAGGGAAAAGGCTAGAGTTGGAATTTGGTTTTTTTGTTTGTTTGTTTTTGGTTTTTGGGTTTTTTTTTGTTTTGTGGTTTTGGGTGTTTTTTTTTTTTTTAATGAGCACTAATACAGGCTCCATTTGATGTACAGTAAATTCCACTCAGATTGATGTTGTTCAAGATGAAATAAATAGTTAGCATTTCTCCTAAAAGCATTGTATTCTACTGCAAATTACCAGTATAGATCATTGCTTTCTCTATTATCATCATCAGTCGTCCTTAAAACAGACCTTTTAGAATCTCCATTATCAAACAAGCACACTGAATTCAGAGTAAATTTTGTTTTAGCTACTTATCCAAATTATGGGTTCCTCTGAGTAGAAAATTAGGTTTGCATTTCAATTTCAGAAATATCTTTCCCCACATTTCTGCACTAGCAAGAGGCCAAGCTTGAGGCAGATGTGGTCATTTCTTTCGGACTGTGTTTGAAAATAGTTTCTTTTGTAACACACTGAGTAGAAGCCTAAAGGTGTGATACTGAACACAGTTTTTCTCAAAGTAAAACATTTTTTAAAACATTTTCCAGTTTGGCCATAAAAAAACAACCAAACATATTCTTTATCCATGCTACAGTGCCAACATAAGTGATCAGCTAATATTGGGCTGTTTAAATAAAATACGTAGAACACTTTAGTCTAACAACTCACCATATTTTATCTTGTTCTAGTTAAATATAATTAATCACCTGTATTGCTAAAGCCCCTTCTTTTAAGTTACAAAAGTCACCCTTGTTTTAACACTTGTACATAAAATTTCTTGTAATTTAGTCTCTAAATTTAGCAATTTACTGATGCCCCACTTAAGCAAAAAGAATTAACGTTCAGATTACAATCAGCTCCTTGATGATTCAGTCATGATGAAACTTACCTTAAGGCTGTAAAATTCTCTTGGATAGGGACCATCATTTTCTGTAGTCATACAGTTCTTACGGGATTCTGTCAGGGCACCATTCTCTTGTTCTGTTGCTATAGCATCAATGCAAAGGTCAGAATTACTCACCAGAGAAGCTCTGTGAGAAAAGCCTGACAAGCTCTTGCAGCTATGCTGGATTGTTAAATGCTTTCTGACTCACATGGAGCAAAAAGACCCCACTAAAATCTGTCAGGGCCCAATCTCGTTGAAGTAGTAAGAGCAGCACCACACACAAGGACAAGGATGGCAGAATTAGTGACACGGTAATCTGAGTGACAGGTAAAGATTAGTTTTGGCATAATTTAGTATTTTTTTTCTAATTAGATCAAATATCAAATCTGTGAAGTACATAAACTATAACTTAAACACCTGCCTTGGGCATCATAGAAAACAGGAACACATAAATACCTAATAAAGGCTAATGATCAGGTTGTCGAGAGTGTCTCAGTATTAATTATAGTCATTAACTCCAACCCTCAGTCATTGGGCTCCCTTTACTGCTGATACACACCAGCTGCTTGCTCAGCACAACAGGCATTTAAACAAGTAGAAAGCAGTAACTTACAGTCAATGATGCTGCTGACATACAGTGAGTAATCAGAGAGGCTGCTACATGCTTGGTGAAGGGGAGGTGATGGAGTTGGTTCTCTGATCCATCTGTGAGAGACCAGGGTAATAAAGTGATATATTATCTCTGTTTCACTTACTTAACTGAGAGCAAATCCAATCCAGGATTTTCACTTTTCTCGGAGATTCCAGTACCCGTACAGAAAAGGATTTAATATTGTCAGATCATTCACCGAACAGAGAATTTTAACAAATTACAGGGGCATACCTGTGAGAGGCTGCGTTATCAGATGGATTTCTCTGAGTTTGGAATACAAATCTCTACCACTATCTTCCTCATATTTAAGCACACTGTTTACAGCTTCAGGGCCCAGGCTTAAAGCAATTTACAAGCATATGACACTCACAATCTAATGTATTAATATTAGACACAATAGTTCAGATTACTCTCACTTCTCATTGCAGAAAACATCTCAGATGGTATTTAGTGTTTGAATCAGGCCCAGCTGAGATTCCCAGGTGTGAGCTTGGCCTAAGTGGCTCCCATCCCATAGGCATGACCAAGTGTACTTAGTTTTACAGCAGGGGTCTTTTTAATATCGTGCCCCAAGTTGTTTAAATACAGACATAAAACAAGCACTAGTCTAAATTGTGTGGTGAGTGGGCCAGCAGAAACCTCCGTGACCTTAGGCGAAGGCCAGTGATGATGATGGATGGTGGCCCTTTGCTGTCACTCACTACAAGAGCCTGGGCAGTACTATCTGCAGCATTAAACAGAAAAAAAAAAAAAAAAAAAAAAAAAGTGGCTATTGCTTTTGTAGCACCAATTGTCTACTCCTGCCGTCCTGATCAGAGTTAAGCAATCAATTTTTCCAGTCTAAATCTTGGCATAAGAGGGTTCTTTGTTACCAGGTGGAAGCTCTCTGAGCTGTGAGACTGCTTCAGAATCAAATGTGAATAATAATACTTGTGCCTTGATTTCTTCTTGTCATTCCTTCCTTAGACTTCCATTTGGCTCAAGTGCTGATGCTCCATTTCTGTTCTGAACATTGACTTATCAAGTATCTCTTTTCTTAATGCTGCACTTTTAAAAATCATTGCTAACTGAACAGAATACCTTCACTGTCTTAAAGATGTCGCCCTTCACGCTGCATGTTCTCTCGTTACATCCACTGGCTTTATATGCAGTCTGATATCTAATTTTCAGATACGTCTATAGGAGTGAATTGGCTTTGAAAGGAATTGGAACAGACAAAGAGAAATTACTTATCTTTAATACATAAGCATTAGGGACTCCAATGTGGTGTGTGATGATGATGTACGGAACTGTGCAATAAGCAATATTTAAAGATTGCTCAAGTCACAGTATTAAGCTGACAAATGTTGCCCTGTGTTAGGTAATGCCGATAACTTTATTTTCCCTTATTTTACTGGTATAGCAAGTAGACAAAATTGTAACAGCCTTGCTCATCAGACTGTCATTACTTGATGCAACCGGATGGATGACTGTGAGTTTCCTCGGGGGAACAGAAAAGTGGAATTAATTATGGAAAGCTAGAGGGGAAACCTGAACTCCAGAATGCTATCCAAATGTACAAACAAAATCTTAGCGGTGATGTTTTTTTAAAAAACCTGCATCAGAGCTTTGTTCAAGTGGGTTGGTCATGTAGACCAGACCAATATATTTATAAACATCCTTGTAAATGAATAGATCCTTTATGTATTTGTATTTTATGGTTGATTTGGTTTAACTGTAAGCACATATAGCTCAAGTTAGATATTTGGAAAACAGCATTCATTGTGAAAATTATTCTGTTGAACAGAGACCTCAATTGATTATTGACTGTAATTATGTAGGTGGACAAAAGCAGTGCCATTGCTCTGTGTTAAATACTTTGATTCCTCCCATCTACTGACAAATAAATATTACCCTGTATAAAACTGCTACATTGCCCAGCTGTTAAATTTTACTGCCTATAATCTCGATAGGACAGTTCTTTCTTACACAAACAGTTCTGAAAACTGGTTTAGTATTTCACATGTTCTCCTATTAGATAAACAGAGATAAGTTGAAAAAGATATTTGTTGTTTGTAGAAGAGAGAAGGACTTAAAAACAGTTAGACAACCTTCTCAGGGCTCACGGTGCTAACATACTTTTTGGTGGAAAAGGACAGAGTCATAATACAGGGAGGTCTCAAGTGAATTTAAGCCTCAAGGGCAAAGCAACTTTTTACTATGTTACTTTATGATTTGTACTCAGATATAATCAATGTGTTTGGAATACTGTTTTCTTAGACATTTTGCAGATACACTGAATAATCTGTGCAATTTGTCAGAGTGGAAGTTTCTCTTCAGTGGCACAGAAAACACTATCTGTAGCACAAATACTGAAAGAGCTCTTCTGAGGCACAGCATTGCAGCCCAGTAGGTACAGATGTGTTTCCCAAATAGCATCTACTACCATGTTTTAATTCATCAGTATCCAAGTAGGAGAAAGATACTTTTGGCTTAAGCCAAAATGTTCATACCACATTTACTTGCATTATCAATATTTTATCACATATGGTAAAAACTCCTGGCATTTATCAATGACACATATTAGTGGGACAGATTCCAGCCTTGAAGATGAGATGCTTTTATTTCACTCAACCCTGATCCCCTACAAGTGGCAAATAATACCCAGGTTCTATTTCTTGTATTATATTTTTTAAAGTTTCATCACAGCCGCATCAATTGCAAGGCAAGAATATTTCACCCTGACATAACTGTAAATTAACATTGCACTAAACTGTTCCACAACAGGCACAATTCTGAAAAATTTAGGTTAGAGCTAACCTTCATGGAGATAAATTTTGCATCTAAGATGTGTCTGAATCTTACCCAGACTCTAGAAAGATAGAAATTATGGCAAGGCAGGTAACTACATGCTTACAGAAATGTGGCCATATAAGGTGTCCTGGGTTGAGTGAGTGGTGGAGTTTTTTGGTGGCAGGGGAGGGGGCTATCGGGGCGGCCCCCTGTGAGAAGCTTCTTGAAGCTCCCCCAGCTCCACATCAGCTCCACTTCTGTTTGGGAAATTGAGCCAATCGGCTGCGCCTCTGTGATAACGTATTTAAGAAGGGACGTGGTGACGGGCAGTGGGACTTGTGAGGAGGAGTTGCTGCAGCTGCCTGAACACCAAGGTCAGTGGAGGAACGGAGGAAGAAAGGAGGGGGGAGGTGTGCCGGAGCAGAGACCCCCCTGTATCCTGTGGTGAGACGGCAGGGCGGCCCCCCCTGCCACCCATGAAGATCTACGGTGGAGCAGACATTGATTTATGGCCTGTTGCTCCTGCTCGCCTGATCAAGTTTCTGTGCCCAAAGAAGGCCGGGGTCTCATGGGAAAAGGTAGCCCCATTGCTGTAATTCAGCACTGGGAGGATTGCAGCATGCGGGGGAGTCCCACGCCGGAGCAGCTCGGGAAGGGCTGCAGCCCTGGGAGGGAATCCAGTCGGAGGAAGTTAGTGACCCATGACGGAGCAGTGTGGGGAACGCTGCGGCCCATGGGAGGAATTCAAGTCGGAGAAAGTTTGTGGAGGACTGTCTGCTGTGAGAGGGGGACCAGGATGGAGCAGGGGGAGCAAGTTCCACACACTCCCCTCACTGAAGATAAGGGAAGTGGCAGCGCTGACTGCACCCCCCATTCCCTGCCCCTGCGCCACTGGGGGAGGAGGTAGAGATATCGGGAGCAGAGCTGAGCCCGGGAAGAAGGGAGGGGTGGGGGGAAGGTGTTCTCAAGATGTGGCAATGCTTCTCACTGTCCTACTCTGTTATGTGTTGTTAGTGTCTGTAATAAATGTATGTTCTTTTTTTCTTCCCCTAACGAGTCTGCCTTTTGCTCGTGACCATAAAAGGGGGATTTTTCCCCATCCCAGTCCTATCTTGAACCCCAAGCCTGGCTTCTCTGTCCCTTCTCATTGCCGGAGGGGAAGGGAGAGAGAGCTGCTGCATTGTGGTTGGCTGCCAATCAGGCCTAAACCACAACAAAGGCAATTACAATATGTTCTTTTATGCCATCATTCTTATTTAGCAAGCTCTGTTCCATGCCTCTCAAAGCACATCTTGATCGTAGCCTCCTTTCCTATAGAAACAAATTTTACACCATTATGCTTCTGTCTGTTTGACCCCAATAACATTTCAGCCACCGGCCAATCTTTACCAAATTTGAAAGAATAAATGCCTCACAGATTATTACACTCATATCTTTAGGAGAACAGTGGCTGGCTAGAAGACAGAAATCCAAATTGCCACCCCCACAGAAAGGTGCCACATGCAGCACTACGTGCTTGGTTCTGCACTACCTGAACAGAAGATGCACAGCTTCAGACTAGCAAGAGCATGTGCTGCCTTTTGCCCAGGAAGGGTGTCAGAGCTTCAGAGAGATGCCACTGAAGTTTCGCCTCAACATTTGGGATTCTTTGAAGTTAAAAAAACAAACAAGCAAACAAAAAAGTGTCTGCACACAAGTTGCCACCCTGTGGCCCCATTACACTGTTGCAAATCTGACAAAACCTTTGCATTCATGTAGGCAAGAATGGCATTTTTAAACATTTATGACACTTTTTCCAGGTTGAAATGGCCTATGGGGCAGAGTGAAAACAAAGTGAGAAGAAGATGACAAAACATCACCACTGACAGAAAGGTCTTTTAACCAAAACATTATCTTGGGACTTACAAACGATTATGGTCTAATTATGGCAAGTCCTCCAAGCCCTGCACCTCCTTTACTCATTTCCTCCTCCTGTTCCCCGTGCACAGATTGTGTGGGGCAGGGGCTGTTTTACAAGATGCACAGTGGCCAAAACAGTAGAGCCATCTTCTTACTTGCACTTCTGGATTTTAATGGAAGTAAAATAGGATTTGGCTTTCAGGAGAAAAATCATTCTTCACATTCACAGACTCAGCTTTTTCTTTGTTTTATCTCAATTCCCCACATTCCCCAGGCTCATCACTGTAGATGGGTGATAAACCAAGCTACTAGTTACATATGAAGAAGTTTGCTTCATCATATAAATATTTGGGTTTATTCTTCATGGTTTTGAATAGTACTCTGAGAGGAGAGGAAATCCATAGCAAACCTTTGAGTAACCTCACAACAAAGGATCAGATGGACTGCAGATGTACTTAGTAGAACCTCATAGGCTCCATAAATATAAAACAAAACTGTCCTTTCAATTCTGTCCTAATAAGACACTTAAAAATGTTTCACAATGGCAACCTTAGAATTATCTTGTCTGCAATCATTCACTTTTAAACAAGGTTCCTTTGGCATATAGCTTCATTTCCATGCAAATGCACTGACTGATGTCTTTTATTTCATTTCATAGGCTTGTCTGTTATTTACAGGCTTTTTACATAATGTGATGGAATTGGCACCTGTGTGCAGCTATTCTCTGTGCAGAATTCATTTCACCCCCATACCTAGTGAAGAAAACTTGTTAATTCATGGAGATGATAGGGCAATAACAGCTACATGAATCAGTACTTCCAACCAGGAATGGCTACTAGAGTCAGAAGAAGCTTTCAAAGTTTGGGGTCCCTCTAAAGGGAATCGCTTACACCCTCTTGCCAGCTCCATTTTTAGGTTGGAGTTTTCTGCAGTGTTTACTTCCCCGAAGGCAGAACCGCAGTGTCGGGGGCGGCTCGGAGAGGCACGGCTTTCCCAGGCGCCGCTTCTGTAGTGACTGTTGCGCAGCCGCCAGCTCCACAAACTCCCAGGCCATGGTTACACCTCCCCAGCACATTCAAATCTCTCTCTCTTGCCCTCAAAACAGGCCAAGAGATTTGTCTGTTAACAAACAACAAAATCACTGCTTCTGGGACTAAAATCATTTGGATGGTACAGTTGTGTCAGATGATCCCATGCTTTAATTTCTACCTGGAAGCCATCTCAGGACTTGCCATCATTAGGAAAACCCACCCCATGACCATAGTCTGATCATAGTCCCGTATTTCCTCAAGTAGTTGGCCCATGGAAGCCATTTAATCCACATTATACTGGGGGGAGGGTGGGGGGGAGAGTGAGGGTGTGGTTGTGTTTTGTTTGTTTTTCAAGTAAATGCAACCACTGTTTTCTTACACACAAGAAGTAAATCTAGGCAATAATAAAATTCAAGAAGTTTTGTGTGGATCAAAACGAGAAAGGAGATCCCAGAACAGTCCTCAGAGCCAACTGTGCTGTTCTTCTGGAATTATCCTCAACAAAATTATCTAGCTGCCATCCCCTCTCCTTTTAAGTAACTCTGCAGGAATTTAACTGCAGCTACTACCTCACAGTTCATACCCATTTCCATTGCCTCTTGGATGGATTCCACTGCTAAAGGAGCTCTCTTTGTCTGCAGAAATGAATGCCAAACAGCCTGGATTTTGGGGAAGGGGCTTGACTCTGAAGTGGCATGGAAGGAGCTGAGCTTAATGAAATCGAAGGAAGAGGCAAACACTCCCAGGAGCCCAGACCCTAGAAGAGACTCAGGAAGATTCTGCAAGAAAATGGAGATAGAGTTTACAAGCCTCAGAGTAGATTGCAACAGCATGAAAATATACATATGTTTTTAACTCAAAGCACTGTGGAAACTATCTGGGCTTTCAGAGAAAAAATTCTGTTTGAGCATCATATCTTCATAGGACATTTTTACAAAGAAAAAAAGGCACAGGAACCATTTCATATTTAACTCTCACAGGAGAGAAATCCACATACACACTGCAGCAATGCCTCCAGAGGTAGCAAATATGGGCTCTCCTTGCAGGAACACAAGGCCATCAGGTGCCCAGGATGTTAGTGAGGGACCCCAAGCCACCTGATGTAAGATGCAGTTAGGTCTTAGAGCAAAGAGCATTAAAGAGCCCAAGACTGTGGGCTGCTCCGAGAACACGGCCGGTCTGTGGCTTCGCCGCAGGATGGGCGCTTTACATCCTCGCTGGGCGGTTGTAACTTTATTCTTTTGAGGAACTCCAAAGTAAAGGTCAGAGAGACCTCCCCAACCTGTGGGAGGATAATCAGTCAGCAAATAACCTCTTTTAAGGTATCCAGGCCTAACATTCCACTATTTGTAAAGAATAGTTTTATCAGTCAACCTAGCAAGGCTGTCACCATGGCATGATAGCCTGTCCAGCACACATTTACATTTTTGCATTCCAGATGGCTTGAGGTGTCTTATTGCTTCCAGCTTTTTATTCACAGACCTTTCTGACCGTGTGACCAGGTCAAGTTCTCACTTACACCAAACGCACTGTGCAGTCCTGCGCTGCTTAGAAATCAGACTTAAAGATCTCCTCCTTGGGACTTGTATCATTCATTTCAACCAACATCAAATATCTGTCTAAAACACCCTACACTTCCTCCTGAAATTGGCTCTCAATAGGGCTATTCCCGCAGGCACCGTCTGTCTCCAGCTCTTTGTCTCGGGCCGGAGCAGGGAGGAACTGTGGAAAATGTCACACTCCAGCAGTTTTGAAAGCTGCCGCCCGGGTTAGTGACCATAAACGTGATCCTAAGGGAGCACATTCTCCTGGGCATCCACAGCCCTTGGGCGCTGCAGAACCTCCTGCTGACCAGTGTCGGATCCCGCACTTATCAGGAAGAAAACCCCAAACCTAAGGCATACGAGGGTATAACCATATTTTGAAGTGCTCTTTATTAACTAAAACCAGCTAAAACTTTGCCCATGTTTAGGTGTGCATACAAAACCATTGACATGTTACACTTAAACGTCAGCTGAAGTAACTGAAATCCTGTGACTGACTGGGAACAAAAGATTGCTGGCTTCTAATTAAAGATGAAGGTGAGACTCCTTTAAAAACTGGCCAAAGAATTAGTAATGAATTCAAAAGCGAAATCTGAGTTGACTGAAAGGTCGTCAAACACAGGGAGATAATTACTGCATGATGTTCCAGGAGACCCAAACTCTGACACTACATTTTTTTAA